AGCTAGATTCAGTTAAGGTCCATTCACACCATTAACAATAATGATACCAATAAAAGGTTTTAATAATCGTTCTAACTCTATAAAATGACAGACATCCACAGCAGACAACACATCAATAACTGGCAATGAACTGGCCTTTGGATTGCTAATGCTTGCATGCTAATATGAAAAACAATATGTGCTATCAAGACATTTTTGTGACATGATAGTATGCTTACTGTCTTTCGATACACTCATAAGTACAGATTTTCCCCATCAGCAGTATAAAAATTCTAGTGAATAAGAATTGGGATGCAGCCCTGCACTTTGAGAAGGAATTGAACGAACATACAAACAGAAGTGAAGAACAACCTGATAGTCATGAGATAACAAAAGCCTCAACAATGAGTCAGATGGGATAAGGTTGCAGAAGAACTGGAAATGTGTTACAGCTGTGTTACAGCATGAAGTAGTAGGACTGGTCAGTTGTTGTAGTGTGATCAGTGAAGGTCAGTTGGTCATCAAGGACAGATCTCATGCTTTCATTGCACCATGGAGCTAATGACTGTGCGACCTTCAACAGAGATTGGAAGTAGAGGGAGTGGGGGAGTACTTAGTTTGGAGGAAAATAGCTCCGACATTAAAGGATACCTAATAATGGTAACCTTTCTCTGGTGGGGACAAAAGGCCTGAAGAGAAGGATGTAAACACCAAAGCACTGACGAGTGTAATTTTAGTATTATTGATATACTATTAGGCCTATAGTATTTAATATTTTAAATTAATTTATTTATTATTATTTTTTTCTGTTTTCTTTTTAAAGTTGTACTTTTTAATTGTTATTGTTTTTTCTATTTAGCTTTATTTTGAGTTTATTTTCATTGATTTTTTTATTTATTTTTAAATTGAGTACTTCAACGTTTATACTAATGAAGTATTAGAACAGTTGTCTTGGCAATTAACTAAAATAAGATTTTCATCTAATATTTACATTTTATTTCAGCTTTATTTCAATTAACGGAAACCATTTTTAATCATTTTAGCTTTAGTTAACATTAACAACACTGACTGATGAAAAAGTCACTTCAAAATCAAAAGTCAAAACGAAATGTTGTCAATCTATAATGTCACTATTTGAAACAGATCAGTCTATCTATCTATCTATCTATCTGTCTGTCTGTCTGTCTGTCTGTCTGTCTAGCTATCTATCTATATTAGTTTCCCACAAAAACAAAACAAAACAAAAAAATCATTCAAAAGTAATTACAATTCAATAATTACTGAGGCGTTTGGGTATACGATACAATACTGGACAATACAGAATGAATGCCTACAACTTAAACTAGTTGAGCAGCTGCTAAAATAGTGCTACTTACATCTTAGAGCTTACATTAATTTGTTTTAATAACAATAATACGAAGCTAATAGTGTGTATCTGATATTACACTAACGATGGAACATCTACACAGTATTTAATCTGCAGGAAGCTCACAGACACTTTAGCAGTTGGTGAAGTGTGTGGTGGTTTGTCCTAGCAGCAGGCCTGTTTAGGCTTTTCAGGGCACACTGCGGAGGTTGGTGAAGGCCACAGAGAATACAGGGACCATCACGCCTGCTTGTCTCCATCTGTAGCTGAAGCTGGTAATTATAGTTGGGAGAGGCGCCCGCAGCTTGATGCCATCTGCCAGCGGGACGGCAGAGCCAGGCTGAAGCGGGCACAAAGGCCCAGTTAAGTTCCCTTAGCTGTGGCCGACAGGAGGACCAACACCTGCCAGCGAGCCACTGGGTCTCAGGTCTGGTCAGATATGGTGAAAGCAGCAGGTCACATGCAGAAAACCAAGACTAATAGGGTGTTTCGGCATTATTGTATAAAGCAAAACTCCAATAATCGAAGTGAGTGGCTGACTTCACACAAATGTAAAAAAAAGTGAGTCAATAATACCATCTTGTGGCTGAATACATGCAGTGCAACTGAATAAAAGCACAAGAAGCTTGTCAAGCCTTTACTTGAAACGTAAAAACAAGCTTTCAGGACACATTCTCACAACTCTAATTTAACATCCAAGCGAGTGTAATGACAGGAAGACAGCTGTGCTCCTGTCTCTCTCTTTCCTACGTGTTGGCACAGCGTAGTGATCCGCAGTCTGCTGTAGCGCGGCCATGCCCTACCCGTCCTGCGTGTCGCCAGAGCTTGTGTGCGTACCACTGGTAAGCGTACACAGATGGTGCGGGGGGAGCAGCGCATGAATATATGATGCTGGAGGGTGAAGTGTAGCGGGTCGAGGCAGATGCCCACTGGCCCCGCGAGAGCCCCTCTGCTCGGTCAGCCACGGCCCTTAGGCTTCCCACCACATGCTGCAGCAGAACCCCAGCGAAACCTCTCACGCTCTTCAAAAGTGGACGTCGACCTGTTTGATAGAGTATTTAGGATTGATGGAAAACTATGGAATTACTTCTTAGACTTCACGTGGATTTATGTTAAGATTCGCAATCATTTGAAAAGTGGAAACACAGTAGGCCTAGGTTTTTTTACACTGGACTTAACCACACAGCAGTCTAAACCCAGATTTAGAAGGTTTCACACTTGTAATTTAGAGGCGGGTTAGCACTACTTTTTATCGAGAAAACCTGTTCCGTCAAACTTGTGCAGTGAGAAACAATGCGGTGTTACCGTGTCTACGCGCCGCAACAGCTAAGGTCTGTCTACACTGGACACGACAAAGCTACCGACCGTTGAAAATTATTTGAAATTTGTGTGAATACGTCATAAATAGAACGCGGCATCAGTTTACTGTCGGGGATTTGCCGCGCCGCTCGCATCCGGTGTAGATAGGCGTTAGAATGTTAAGGCTAGGTGCGTAGCAATAGACACCCAGTCAAGGAAACACATTTAACGTTTGAGGGGGAAAATGTCAAATGGTGACGATAAGCACTGCGTGAAGAAGAGAGTGTTTTATTCTCACGTTTATGGTCCAAAATCTATTCAGGGGCAATTTATAATACGATGATGTTTTTCATGTTTACATAAAACTAGATGCTTTATGTAAACTGCATGCTGCGTTGATCCAATCAATGATATTGACACCGCAAATATGCAAATTAATTGTTAACCCCGGGTAAAGTATGTGCACTGTAAATCTCTTTCAAACGTAAAAAGCTCCTAAAACGTAAATAATTAGTATTTTTAAGATATGCCAATTCTATGAGGCAATTATACCTCAAACATTAATTTAAAAAATGTGTGCTTTAAAAGTAAAAGTTGCTAAAACTGCTACATACAATCTGTTTATGTGCTTGAATCAGTCTATGGTTGTAGCCCTCACGTAACTAACACTGCTAACCAGAAGAGATGTTATATAGCAGAGATGTGCCTCATTTGTATTCCAAAGAATGGAAGAAATTGAAGTGTCCAACATGGCGGCTCTAGTAAAGGAAGTTCTACCTACAAAATAATTGTTGAGATTTTAGGTATTTCCTTATTCAATTATACAGGAGCTGTATGCACTACAACCAAGTAAGTTTTCAAGATTGGCCGAAAAGTGGGAAGGTGAACTGCCTTGCCTTCAAGTCATGTCGGAAAAATCACATTTATGAGTTGAACACACATGAAAAGCTACCAAGAGTCAGATTTTAAATGGGAAACCCAGAATTTTTTGAGGCCACGAGCTTCCGAGTTAGGGTGTACAATTATGAAAAATATATAACAATTCAGTTCACAAAATCTTCATATAATGAACAAAACCAAAGCAAAACACACCTGATGCAAACTCTTTATTTTGTAGCATAGTTAAAAAATCTTGCTGTATTTTTTTAAAGGTACATCGCAATTTTGCTCCAACCAAACTGATTTTAACGCACCTGACTTTGCAATTACGACTTCCCAGCTTTTAAATACTAACTTCCCAGGACCTGAATGCTAAATCTAAAAACACTACATCTAAATGAGATTCAACTTGAAAAATTGTGCAGTATGACAGTGAAAAGGTACAAAATGTATACTGTTCTGCCCAAAGGCAATTTAATTTTTTATACTTTCTAAAGAGTTGTTCTAATGCACAAGAAAAGCCAAACAACTGCTTTGCAGCATAATAATATATTTAAACATGAAAAACATGCGAGTACACATAATACACATTATTATAAAAAAAAGAATAAAAAATTACAAAACATAAAAAAAAAAAAAGGCATATTTAACAAAGAACAAGAACAAAAACTAGGTGTGCCCTAGTCATCAACCAGTTATTAATGTGCTAGACAATGAACATGTGGGCTTACACATCACATTTGGCAAACTGTTCCTAAAAGTATTACTCCAAAAAATAAATAAATAAAATAAATGCACAACTCCTAGAGTGACCTGAAAAGTAAGAAGTTAAGCCTCACTGGCCTGATTACTCTGACCTAAATTGGCAGGCACATGGTAATGCACGTTGTATTTGGATCTTCAACAGGTTGTGGATAAGACCCGTCTGGGTTGGAAATACAAATAAAAGCCATCATGTGTGTTATGTCAACAAAATGTATCTGTAGATGACATCATTCACAAAGTGAATAAAATATTAGCTTACTTTAATGATACATTTGTGACAGCTCGGTTATAAACAGTGATTGATATGTGACCAGCTGTCTGATACCAGGATAACAAAAAAACCTTTCAGCAACACCCAAGCCTACAAGCTTTGAGAAGGCATCAGGTGACATGTCTGCTACGTCTATGGTGTGTGTACAGTATCTGAGTAGATTCAAATGGAAGAACAATGTTTTACTGTCCTAAGAAAGAGCTTCTAGGAAGCATATAGAAGCAAGTGGCAGACTGAGGCTCATTTGTACCTGCACATACAATTGTCAATTTATATATTTTTATTCCTTATTTACTTGTTCTATTTTTATTTTTTATTATCTGTGTTTTTTGTTCTGTCACTGTCATTCTGTTACACTGTGGAAGCTTCTGTCACGAAAACAAATTCCTCGTATGTGTAAACATACCTGGCAATAAAGCTCATTCTGATTCTGATTCTGATTAGAGCCTCTGCTGGAGGTACAGAAGTGAAACATCCGCGGCCTCCAGCATGCATATGCAATTAGACTGAAAAAAACTGGCTGAGATATTGAGGTTATGTGACTATGCTACAAGAATATTATGAAAGCACTGCTAAGAAATGTATTCCTGTCAAGTGTTTGTTAGGATCTCAGGATAAACAGCATAAAAAATAGCTTAGTTAACCTTAATACCACATCAAGTGAAGAAAAAGTGATGCTGAGAAAAGATACAAGACAATGTAACAAAAGACAAAACAAAAGTGTTTGCTTCCAAACACTACAGATCTGCTTAACTCCAATGGCTCATCCAGTCAGCTTCTCTGCTCCTCTGTAACACCTTTCAATGCAAGTCAGCATATTCAAAAGTGCCATCTCACGGACAGATAAATCTTTTACCAATGCACCTGCAAAGTTGTGCTCAGGAGAACAAGACAGGATCACAGCCGATCCTCTGTCACATGAGTGGAAAGTCACCTCCTGAAGCTGAAATGTTGCTCTAGGTGGGAAGAGGGTCATCGTCGCCACGTCTACACTTGCACTTGCAGCAAAGCACGAAAGGAGTGGCCAGCAAAAGGAAAGGGGAGGCCACTAGCAACAGCAGACCGAAGCCAGCAAAAATCCCAACAACCTGAGCACAGAGGTGACAGATCCAGGGAGAAAAAGAGTACAATTAAGAAAAAAAGAAAGGAGCAAAAAAAATAGAATAAATAATGTGTGCACATTCCTGCCGATTATAAAACCAGTATAGATTGGTCTGTGATGCTTTGACATGTCAAATCAGATGGCATTCAGCCACAGGGGGGCAGTAATGGTTTTGTGATCGTATCTTGGTGTCTGTCCTAGTGCTGCTGGTACTGATTTAGTAAAGAGAAAATCTACATTTCCAGTTCTAAAAATTTTTACAGAACTTTCAAGAAGCAAACATGCTAGATACAATTATATATATATATATATATATATATATAGTATTATTTTTGAATAGCCTATTAGTCTGATGTAGTACTGAATAGTCAAACTGATGGTTTTTCAAAACAAAATATCAGTGTGGTTTTATTTACATACCTGTTGTGCTTTTGAGGATCAGCCACCTCTCTCTCTCTATTGCTGATACAATAAAGTAACAAAAAAGCTCAAATCTCCCTGCACTGTAAAGTAAGGCATTAGCAAGTGTGACACAAGCCACTCTTGTAATAAACACATAACATCTCCCTAATATAGAAACATAAATCATGCCCTGTTGGCTTTTAGAAAAGTTAGGGTTATTTCATGTGAATTGTGTGGGTCAGCTTGTCTTTAGCACTTCAGATCTGCAGTCTAGAGGGATATGGCTCATGTGGTACATACCTGTGTCCGATGCCAGATGACGGAGGCTCTGGAATGACCCAGTTTGTTCTGGCATGGTCCTTTATCATAGTGGATCAGTAAGAAGTCATCCTGAGGAGATGAAGGAGAGATGTTAGCATCAATAAAGTAGTGATGTGCATGAAAAAGATGATTGCCCTGACTTAAAAAAAAAAAAAAATCTCTTTTTTCTGATTGGTTATTGCGGCATTTTGGGCGGTATCTGAGGTCTGATTTATTAGTGATAGACAGCATGTCTTCCAGACCGGCGAAATAAAGTGAAACTGGATTTGAAAGGTCACAGTGATTCTGGAATCAGTGAAAGGCCTGGAATCACTTTGATCATGAAATACAGTTAAGTGCAAGATGTGCAGCGCCAGTCTGTCACATACACGGCATTATAATGAGAACACGATTGTAATAGAATGTTGTGAGTTCTTTGTGCTTTAGTTGCCTGTGTATCAGCGTTGTTGTTACGGAAGGAGTGCATCCACAATGGGAGTTACCCTTTCAAACTAGCATGGTCAAGTTCATGTGCACATTTGTGTCCTTTTGTGTTAATTTTTGATCTTTAGTTTATTTTTTGTCATTTTCTTTCAACAATATACATAACATTATAGCGAGAAAGTTTTTTGCTTTTCTTGCCCATGTTTCAGCACGCTGCTATGGGAAGAGCGCATCCACAGCGGGAGTTACACTCTCTGGATACATCACGTAACTTTGCTTAAGTTCACTTGCATCCTTTTGTGCAGATAGAAGCTGTAATGTTACGTTTATGTTGTGTATCTAGGATATTTTATTAATTTCATAGGATGTCATAGAACGGGCTTCAGTTTACTGGAGTTGATCTCTTCAGCTTCACCTCATGCAGCTATTCCTTTTAAAAGTTTCTTTTTCAATAACACTGATGCGTCATAATCTAGCAGTTATTTTTTCTAGCCATATGTTCATGTTTTCATGTCATATTTTTATGTCAACATTCATTTTCGCAACAGTCTTAAAATATTTTCATTATCTCCATGACTGACACACCCCGCCCCCCGCACATGCCCCGGCCCCCGAGTACTCATTTTTTGAGACCTATCAATGATCGAAACGAGAAACTGAAAAAAATGCCCAACTCTACAATTAAGATGAATGTGAGATACATGGAGAAGCAGCACTTAGAAACTCCAACAATATATTGGTCTAACCAAGCACATCTGTACTGGAGGAATAAGACATGTAATAAGACATCCCAATAAAAGTTCTACTTTTACAGTAAATAGTATAAACTTTGTTAAAATAATAATAACAATAAGAAGAACAAAGTGAAACCGGTCATACTGCATAAACAACTTACATCTAATGACTCCAAGCAGTACCAGCAGAAGGCGTGCTTGCAGTTCTTACACATCATCTGGGCACAGCCTTCATCTCTCTCAATGTACACTTTACATTTAGGACAGCGTTTGATCGGAGCCTCGTCCTCCTCACTCTTGAGGTTGGAGCTGAAAGAGGGGAGATGAACATGCAACAGAACAGGTCATGACTCATGAGTCTCATGTTCAGTTTCATCAAGGCTATTTGAATACCTCTTACATTGAAGTGTCAGGTTCAAAAGAAATAACGTTTCCTAATGTTCTGAAATATGACTAAAATTATACAAAAATTTTAACTTGCTAACATGCTTTAACTGTATATAAACAAAAGTTTGGGGTAGGTAAGATTGTGCTCACCAAGGCTGCTTTCATTTGATCAAGAATTCAGTAAAACAGTGATATATTATTTCAATTAAAAATTATATTTTAATACATTTTCAAATGTCATTTATGTCTGTGATGGCAAAGCTGAATTTTCAGCAGCCATTACTCCAGTCTTCAGTGTCACATGATCCTTAAGTAATCATTCTAATATGCTGATTTGCTGAACGTTGTAGTTTCCACCATGATTTTGCTGAGATTAAACTGAATCCAAACAGAAATGTTACTAAAATGAATACCAGTCAGTTCCTGAAAAGTGTATGCATAATTTGTTGAGGGATACTTCAATAATATCTGTATACTGGACTTTTATTAGGGGAGAGAAACCTATTAAAAGAATCTGAAGGCAAGATAAGGGGTTATTTTTGTTTTTACATAATGAGCTGCACCACAGAAACAAGATTTCTGCTGTGAATGCTCCATGATTTGATGCTGAGGGTTTAAAGTACACTAGTACCCGTTTTCCACAGGCAGGAAGGTGGTAATTGGCAGGCTCTCCTGACACGCGTGGCCGGTGGGGCAGTCTGCCCTGCAGGTGGAGCAGAAACGCAGACTGCACTGAGGGCACTGCACCGGCTGCGGCAACTGCACCTCTGATTCATTCAGCTGGCACACTGCTTGGCATGAGGATGATGGGCACCAAGTCCGACAAGGATCCAGAAGCACCTCTGCAAGGAAAAACAAACAGCATATTTGAAATGATGACCCGTTTGATTTGATCTACAACTACTTCAGACATTTACATTCCCGGGTTTGACATGAGGTATCAAATTTTATTTTGACAAAAGAGGTTGATGTATAAACACATACTGTTAGTTTGTATGTTGTAAGAACTTCCTCCCCAGTGAAAAAAACTAAGATGCAAAAAAGCTCATTCTGAATGAAACATTTAACATCAGAACATCAATGTTCTGATCACTTTATGTTGCACAGTTCTGTGTAAAAGATTTATGAATGTGTCAATCTGATGCAGGCTTTTCAAAGAGGCTGCTGTTGAAAGATGTAGCTGTTAAAATACTATATTAGACATGACAAAACTCACACAGGAACAAAAAAACTCATCTTGCAGGAACAAAGCATTATTAATTTCCAAATATAATGCATTTCTTAGAGGCACATTAGCAAAAAAAACAAAAACAAAAAAACAGACACGAAGAAATGATTGAAAATGTGTGTAAAAGCTAAATTAGAACTATGTACTTCATGAAACTCTCAGGAAAACTCACCTCGCTCAAACTGGAGTCTCTTATAATGCTGCATGACCTCGTTAGCCACCATAAACTCAATCTACATCAGAAAAAAAAAATATAATAATTTAAGCAAGACAGGAGCAAGTGACAGTGGGTGAGAGACTGTCTTGATACTTTAAACTCAGCAGTTATTTCTAGTCTTCAGAAAAATGACAAATTTTAAGCAAGCTTACCTCGTTTTCCAGCAAATGTCCTTGTTTTGGGCAGGTAGAGTCTGGACAGCTAATAGCCGTTTCAAGGCCTTCTTTAATGAGGAGTTCAACATATTGCTTCAAGCACTGTAAGAGACAGATTCTTATTTTTGTTATCTTTGAAATAAATAACGAGACAAGTGCTGCCTGTGGTTGTTTCCACCCACAATCCATCACAGCATTCTGCTGAGACAACATCCAAGAGCTGCTTGTAGAGAACAGGCCAGTTTGACCAATATCAAGATTCAAGAAGCTAATGCATCGCAAAAACAACTATCAAAGCATTAGTATCGAATTATATGTACACATACTAAATTATACAGTCCATATTTGGAAAAAAAAAACAACAGTAACAGGATCACCAGCTCCTGTATGTTTTGTGCATTTACATTACTGTATTTCCACTTGTGAAAAGACTGTCAAACAATTTGTTGGATTGCACACTGCTGCAAAACACACTGGAGGGCTACTGAAGACACAGCCCTTACCAGACTGCAAAATATGCACTGGCACTGGGAGATGGTGGTCATCTGTTCCAGGGGAAACTCTCCCAGGCACAGTTTACAGGACAGAAGGGGCGCCAGGTCCACGTCCCAGCTGGGTTCGTAGCGAGAACTGCTCATGGTACACGGATCTGGGACGCTACAATACAGACAGAAAGCATTAAAAAAACAGCTAATGCAGTTAATAAATATCATACTGTTTTATCGAAGAAAAAAAAAAAACTACAAAATATAATCAATTATAAATGCAACAAGTGAATTTAGCCATCACTACAAATGTAACTTTAATACAATAATATACTATTACAATGTTTAATAATATTTTAAATTTTTTATATTTTCAGTTTTCATTTGGTGCTTTTGTCATTTTTATTAGTTTTTGTATATAGCATTTATTTTTTATATTTATAATTAGCTTTAGTTTGTTTTTATTTCAGTTTTATTAATTTTAGAACTTCAATAAACTTTGTTCGGGTAGCTGCCTGCAACATTTATTTTTCTTTTATGTTTTTAAAGTTTTATTTTATTTCAGCTTCATTTCAATTACCTAAAACATTTAATAATAGTTTTAGTTTACGATGATCACATTATAACGAACAGTAAGAAATTAATATTAATTCTGAGATTTGCTAAAAATTACTTTGACAGTGTTTTTAAAGATTAACTTAAAGTGAGCATTAGATGACAACAAAGGTAATCTAAAGGTAAAAATAATGGGGAGGAAGACACTTACCATTAAACTAGATTTGGGGTATCTCACTCCTTATCTATTAAAATATTTGGTCTGCCACAAGAGTTTTCCCTTAAGAGAGCTTCCGCTGTTTGCTAAGGGCTTGTCCAATCAGTCAATGGCAAGTATGCCAGTATCCCTCAGTACTGCTGCCAGGCAACCCAAAGAAAACTAATGACTGTCTCTACTGGAGTGCCCTACAGAACAGACTCCCTCAGAGAGTACGAGCAACACAGCAGCCTGCTAAAAACAAACAGACCTCTGCAAAATACACTGTATGCGCAAACTTTCAAAGCACCTTCACAATATGGCACAGCAAAACTTTTGCTCCAAAAGTTACTAAAATGTAACGTGATTCACTATACCACCTCATCACGCACTAGTACACACCATCACAAGCTGATAGAATTAATTGTTGAGGAACATTCAGATGATCTAGTTAGTATGCTTCCGCACAGCAGATATCTGTGTAGGTGGAGACAGATGGAGACTCATGTGCTTGCGCCTGCAGTATCTCATTGTGTTGTGGTGAGAATAGTCGACAGCCCAAACAGCAAAAGGCTCTCAGCAGGCTGTTCGTCTCTGTTTGGGCCTCTCACCTCCGTCAGCACACCCACACAGCCTTAACCAGCCACAGTAACTCATATGTCATATGTAAAGCCACGTGTAGTGGTGAAATTATTCTGTCCTTTATGATTGTTGCCTGTCAAATACGTCCCCAGTGAGATGTTGGGTAAAAACCAAGGCAGACTGTGAGACATCAACAGTTTTTGTATGATGTACATCTTAGGACAGTGCGGATGTGGTAATCACAGCTCTTTCTGACATCCTCACCTTGTGTACCACACAAATGAAGAAAATTAAATGTTGTATGGAGTCTTTCATTGACTGCTCATTCTCCAGAGCAAACGAGGCAGTGCTGGTAATGTGAAGAGAACGCAATTTAAGACTTCTCTTTCTCTGACAAACACACTGCATCAAACGTCACCACTTGCTGTGCACCAAATTGGTTCTTCATTAGACAGTTGTCATAAGAGCAGTTACACTGTAGGACTGCAAACCAAAATGTCTGATTCTGTCAGAACTTCATTGGATGCCCATATACATGATACATCACAGCAGCATTTAAATGCATCTCACTGTGAATGCAACACTAAACGATAAAAGACTGCAGAGTTTGCCCTACTATGAAAGAAATCTTTCTCGATTACCAAAATTGGTCTCAAACATAAAACTGGTACCCACATTCTTGCAGCATAGCCTTAATACATCAAATCTCATCAGGCGCAACTATATTATATTGGCGTGAGGGATGGGCAATAAGGTTATCCAATGGCCAGACAAGTTTTAATCTTTCCTCCCCAGCACCCTGCCACTCACATGAGACAATCGTCTATTGTAGTCGCAATGGCCACTTTCTACAATCCGATAAATACCCAATGGATGCTGTTTGTTTTTCCTTGCAGAGGTGCTTCTGGATGCTTGTCGGACTTGGTGCCCATCATCCTCATGCCAAGCAGTCCCACCCTATATTTTTTCTGATTAGATGAATCGTGGATATATGCAACCACAATAAGGAAGGAAAGTCACAATTTCCTGTTCATGACAACTAGGAGATAATGAACATAATGGCTCATTTAAACCAAGTCCACTGTTGACTGGAGCTCTTTCTCCATGAGTCAGGAAGGGAAGGTCAGGAAATACCCTATAACTGTATCACGTACAGCAGTTTGGCACAATGAACTCCTCATAGGGTCCAAGATGAGTACAGAAAGCGTCCAACAGTTTGGCACTGTAATTGAACTTTTCTATCTGCTGACGGAGGTAATAGTCTGAACTAGTTCTTAAGCACATTTTCTTGTAGTGTGTGCACATTTAAAAGTGCTCACAGATCACTTCAATAAAGAAGCGGGTTTTGCTCAGTTTTGCAAAAAGCATCAGGGCTCCGGAGATGCCAATATAGCTTTCATCTAAGCTTTTAGCACAAGTTTGAGTAAAATTATATAACGAATGATAAAGGTCTTGCATAAGATCTATTTTTAATCTATCTAGGTTAAAACCAAATGAAGATTCTCAAGTGTCGCTCCAACTGTCTTTTGTGAGCAGGGTAAAAACAGTTTAGTTATAGTCAAGACCTTTGGTTGAAACATTAAAACACATTATCTGTCATTAATGAAAACAATGTAAGTATAAACTCAAAGTGTCAGTATTTAAAATCAGCACATTTAGCTGAAAGACTAGCAAAACTGTTTAGAGAAGTAACGTTATTACTTTTGGGTTAAAAATAACCCACAGTTGGGAGGGTGCTATGTTAACCCATAGTTGGGTTACTTGTTGGGTTATTTTTAACCCAACATTTTTTAGTGAGTGTGTACCACACAAATGAAGAAAATTAAATGTTGTATGGAGTCTTTCATTGACTCTACTGCGTCACTTGTGGACGCGAGTTCACGACAGTACCATATACGCGAGCGCGTGACGGCGAGCCACACGCTCGCGTCATGATACTGTCGTGAACGCGCATCCACAAGTGACGAGTAGAGACGAAAATGTGGAATAAAGTCGTTATTTTTGTTTTCTTTGTGCAAAAAATTCTCGTAGCTTCGTAACTTTACAGTTGAACCACTGATGTCACACGGACTACTTTGTCGATCATCTTGGTTCTTTTCTGGACCTTGAACGTGGTAGTTACATTGCTGTCTATGGGAGGGTCAGAGAGCCCTCAGATTTCATCAAAAATATCTTAAATTGTGTTCCGAAGATGAACGAAGGTCTTACGGGTTTGGAACAACACGAAGGTGAGTAATTAATGACAGAATTTTAATTTTTGGGTGAACTAACCCTTTAAACAAGCATAACTGTGCTAGTCAGACTTCTGCTAAGAGAAAGACAGTGACTGAGACAGAGAGAAAGAGAGTTTTTGCATTCACAGTAACTTGATAAATTAGGACCATGATAAAATCAGGCCTTTCATGAACTTGGCTATATGGACATGGAAACTAGTGCCTAACAAAAAATTAAATATATTGCTAATGTTCTCAGTCACTGTATTTGGAGCAGTCTTCTGAGGTTGAACAGTTCCCTCTAAAGCGATCACTCTGACTCACTATCATGCTGTTTCAATTTAAAGGAATTTTCTAATCTAGAGGGCTGTTGCAACCAAATTGAACCATTGAGTTGAATTTGAGAACTGAATCCGTCAGCTTCATGAATAAATCATTCAGACTGCTTTTGTGAACTGGATCAACCGATTCACTGCACCAGTCCTTTTTGACTTTTCAATTTTAGACCAAAATGACTGAGTAAATGCTGATAGAATCTTCATTTTTGGTGAACAGTTTATTGCTTTTAAATTGTTACGACAATGATAAAATGATAAAAGATTTTGCGCAGAAGTGTGGCCATGTGGGAATAGACAGCAGACAAATTCTGAAGGGAAAAAAAAAGCAAGCACATGTATCCTCATTTAGAACAGTGTGGTCTGAAATCATCTCTGCAAGGCAGTCTACAAGTCAGAGGGAGCTGAGCGTTCCTGCCAAGCACAGGATGTGAGCTCTGCCCAAGGAAACAGCAACACTTCCTGTTTTTGCCATATGCATAGCTAGGAGCACAGACCTATGCTGTGACTGAGAACTAGTATAACAGTACACGGGTCAAAGACGTTAAGGTGTCCGCATCAAAATAAATGTACAAAAGTGATTTTATGTCCATAGAAAACACATTAAATGTAAGTAAAGTGTCTACTTTTAAGGTTTCAAATAAGTTTTTGGAGGATAAAATGTCAAAATTTGGTTGAAATAATGTTACATTGTCATTCAGTGTAACAATATTTATGTAAAAATTCAAACAACAAGCTTATTCTGACGTGTACATATTAAAACATATAAAAGAATAAGGGAGCATATTACATTTGATTGTGTTTTAAATGAGTAAAAAATTCTTACTGAATAATGGGCAAAACCTAGGATGATAGTGGCAAATTTTAAAAATGTAAAATTACAACTAATTAGTATTTGGGGTGAAAGTAATTAGTCTTTTAATATGTCATAAATTGATTTTTGTTGTAAATATGCCTGACAAGACTGTTACACTGAATGACATTTTAGTGGGTCTCTTCTCAGGGAAATCAGGGAAAAATGTATGATATTTATTTTTTGCTCAGAAAAACAAAAACAAAATTGCAATTAAATTAAACAGAAAACTTTACACATTTGTTGGGGAAAAACAAACACAATTTAAAGCAGTATTACACTTGTTGTTATGCTTAAACCCTTTTTTGTCTTTGACCCACACACAAAATAAGTTTTTGTTTGTATGCCAAAAAAGCTTATCTACACCAAAATGTGCAAAATTCTGTTTTACATTTTGAGTAATCACATAAATAATATTTTTCCTGTTCATCTGCAGAAAGTTCAGAACAAGATGTTTTTCTTTAAAATCTTTTCTCTCAAAAAAAAAAAAAAAAAGATACTGATGACACAAAGGAAATCTTGATCAAAATATGCACACACCAACAGCCATGCAACATTCCATTAATAATATTTTGGTTTATACCACAGTGTAATTTAATCATTTAATGAGAAGATGTGGGTAATAAGATTACGTGTTATAGAAGTCTAATCTCACAAACAAGGATCTGACATCATTAGTAAGTGTTAGTAAAAATGACAAATCGCACTGTGCACCAGAAAGCACTGGGAAAGCTCAAGAGGTGAATCTCTACAGGGCTTGTTCCATTTCAGTGTAGACAACATGATCTAAAGAGGATTTAACAGTTTACTTGAATGACTGGGATCAAAGGATTTGTAGCAGTTCAAAAAGCACACCCAACACCCATTATCTCTGAGAAAATATAAACCAATGAAGGAATACAGAGAAAGAGGAGAAGCTTGTCTTTGTGTATTCTCTGTTCTCATAAGTGTCTACGAAGTTTGAGAAATCAATACTTGAAACGTGTCCAAAGGTTTTGAAAGTAGGTTGCTTTTTACTTTTTTGGTGAATTTGTTATCTCTGTTTTAAAGTCACTGGCCTGTGGCCTCATTAGCTCTGAGATTAACCTACTTCGTTGGGATTCCTTCTACTGATCTGTTCACTTCAGATCAAGTGCCATTTATTGTTCTTTTGATGTCGGGTTATCTTTTTTTTTTTTTACAGAATTTTAGCAGAAAAGCCACAATTCTGTGACACGACCTCAGAGTGAACCCATGCTATCCAGACCAAGCTCTTAGAAGCTGTACCTGTACGGTTCCTAACTGTACTGTATCTAGGACATGGTTTCCCAAACTGGGGTTCATGAAGAAGATAAAAATCACGAGTGAGCTGAAATAATTCATTAAATCATAAAAATGTTAAATAAATTAAAAATGAAATACTTTATTTGTTTACCTGCAGGTCGTGTGAATATTATACAAAATCAGAGAACCATGAACTTGTGAATGTGCTGTTAATTTATTATATATAAAATATTAGGCCGTGGGGGTCAAACATAAGGCCCGTGAAGGAGCCCAATCTGGATGATTTTCAATTAAAAAAAAATTTAAATTAAAAGACGTTAAATAAAACACTCTAGTACATTTTGCGTATCTGTATGATATTCATAATATTCTACTTTTAGCCACAGCAGGACGGATAAAAATGTGTGTTGCATGTAACAGCTCACATCTTAAAGTTGCAAATGAACCAGACAGCGTTTTATGTTTACGCGGCGCGATGCAACACAACGTGTAAAAAGACCGTATAAGTCATTATAATCAGTGATTATGTCACCACTGGATCCAACAAATGCCTCGTTTGTAATGGGTTTTAATGTTTATGTCTCGTAGCTCCGGCCGGACACGGCATCAACAGTATGGTGAGGGGCGTAACATTTCCGTCACACGCTTGAGGTATTCGGCCAATCACAACGCACTGGATAGCTGGCCAATCACAGCACACCGCGCTTTTCAGACCGATGAGCTTTGTAAAAATAGACGCGTTTCAAAAAGGCGGGGCATAGAGGAGAAACAATAATGTACAGTATGTGGAAAATAATGTTTTTTTAACTTTAAACCGCATAAACACATTTCATTACACCAAATACACAAAATTATGTTTTTAGCAGCATCATATGACCCCTTTAAAGAACACACACTATGTGGAAATTGTGTGACAACAGTTCCAGTTAATTTTTACCTAGTTTGTACGAGTCACTCATGAGAACATGGACAGGTACAAAAATAAATATTACTCTTAAATGTGAATTCCTCAACCACTGAATATTTATTACACATGCTAAGATACAATAATGCTCATTTGATTGTCAACGTTTGACTGCGAAGGCAGCCTGTGACTAAATCACACATTCAAACAGTTTTTTATGCCGTATAGGAAAATAAAATACAAAAGGTGATGCTTAGTCCGGTCAGACCCCTAAATGATCTGACACCCCTGATGTGGGCTGATATTATGCTCCACTAGACATCAATACACCTGACATTCTGAAGTTGGTGATCAGCATGCAGTGAGTCACCTCAGTCTCTTGTCCAAATGAAGAGATGCTAAACAGCTCCCAGATTTGAAAATTCATAAAAAACACATTAGTAGGCTAATCTATTTATTCAAGCATCAATAATAATTCACCTACCTGTGCTAAGACGTTAACAAATCCTTGACGTAATATTTAGTGTTTGTGTGCGTATAGAGCAGGAAGACTGAAAGCTGGCAGGCACAGTTTGTTCCGGACATGGGAAGTCCCTGTGCATTTCATGAAAGGGACATTCAGAGCTGAAAAGCTGTACTACGGTAATGCCCCTCTTTCATGCTCAGCCCACTTCTGTAACGTCACACTCGGCTCAATCAACTTCCCCTCTCTTTATCTTTATGTCTGAACATCCCAATTTAGGTTTAAGGCATCAATCTTCACGTTAATCAAATGAATGCACAAGTTTTCACAATGAAAACTCCAATCCCTTTTAATAACAGGTTTCTACACACTACAGGTTAGATTTATCATTCTTGCCAAAGAGCACTTAATTTAATAAGTAATTCATTTCATAACTGGCTGCCAATAAAAAGATCAGACACTACAATATATCTAGAGATCAATACTCAAATCAAGTTTGATCTGGGTCACTCTCAGATTGGCCACAGACCAAAATAAGCAACAAATGCCAAGGCTGTGGCTGCTAGTTGAGTCAAACTAAGCGGAAAGGCTTTGTTGGAGTCTATATGCATGAATAGGGCACATGTCCAACTCAGCTCTGCTCTTCTACAGTGGACTGAGGACCGGAAGAAAGCATTGTCAGCCTGATAAAATCTGAAATAAATTGTGTTTGTGTAAGCTGGATGTGAACCACACTTGTGGTTACAGGTAGGGTTATTATCATTAACTAAGACCAAAACTATT